GTCGGTTCACACCCCATCACAAGCCAGCAAAACACCCACGAAACAAAGAAAGGTCTGTCACAGCCAAAAAATACACTCCAGACACGCCGCTGGCACTAGAGGCACAGCATATGTACAGGGTTGCCGGCGTTCGGGACGGGCCGAACGCCCAAACCCGAACACCCGAACGTTCGGCACCCCCTCTCGACGCGTTCGGCCATCCAAAAAAAAAAAACAAATCTGAAAAAAAAAATATGTTATGCAGAAGAATAAACTAAACAACATTTGCCTCAGCGTTATATCCAAATTCTTTACCAAATTTGAAATAAAAATCAAATTCTAAAAATAAATAATAATAATGAAAATTAGGAAAAATAAAATAAGAATTAAATTATTGAATGGGCGAGCAAGTTTTTGACACCGTCATCTTTGGCGATTTTTCATTTTTTTTTGCCTCTGATGTATGTCATGAAAATTTATATATGTGTATCTTACATAATAGAGAATCTACAAATAAAGTTTGAAAAAATAATAAATTGTTTTATGCCCTGAAATAAAGGAAAAACAAAAAGTCAAAAGAGAGGAAAAACAATATGTGAGTGGGCAAGCAAGTTTTGACACTACCACCTTTGAGGATTTTTCATTTTTTTTCGGCTGAACAGAATGACTTCAAAATTAAGCGGGAGATACCTTACATCACAAAGAACTCACAAGAAAAAATTCAGAAAAAAATAATAATATTTGGGTGCCAAAATATTATTTTGTGGGTTCCAAACCCCTTCAAGTTTGGGCCCCGTACGGGGGGGACCCGAACGCCCGAACGTTCGGGGGTCAGCTTAGGGGCCTCCGTACGTTCGGCCTGGCAACCCTATGTGTATATGTGTATATATATATATATCCTCATAGAGAGGTGCATTGAGAACAGTGGACTGTTTCGTCGGAGTTTCACCGACTTGTGAGGACATAGGGCCTTGCCATACCACTGTAGAAGCGAGAAAAGTAGGACTGGATGTTCCCACAGAGAGAGGCCAGACGCATCCAGTTCTCCAAATACTGTCCGATGCATCTGGGGACGATGCACTCGTTATAGAGAACTGCCCGGTGGACCGTAGGCAGAGAGGAGACGAGCACAACAGACAAGGGGCGAAGCGCAGGGCGTACTCAATTCACATTAAAAAAAAGGGAAACTGCGGCCGCGTCACATTTTTAGGGCCTCGCCACACCACTCTCGAAATGTGAAAAAGACAAAAATGTGGCGGGTGCATCTGGCCATGTTTTATCGAGAAGTTCATTAGCATTTTGCACATTTCGAGAGTGCTGTGGCGATTCACTTAGTTTGAAATAGGCAGAAAAAAACAGTGCATAGCAACTTCAACATGGCCCAAGTTTCAAAAGCCCAAAAAAACAATACATGGCAGGTTTATCACGACAGTAGTTTGTTATAGCCAAAAAAGGTACCAAAGGCCTGTCGCCAGGCCAGGCCCAGAGAAGCATGGAGTGGGGTAGACACCACAGACCCCTGTAGCATCCAACTGGCTTTTTCCTTATGCACCTGACAGTTATAGCAGTTGGATACATCGGGAAACAGCTGGTGCATGAGCAAGCCCGTACTGGCTGAGGGCCTGCTCACACTTCGAGTTTTTCTTTTTTCCAACTGAGCTCTGGACACGATTGCGGTGAGATTCATCCAGGTACGTCCGTAGTTGCTGTCAGATACATTTAGAAAAGTGCTGGACCCTGTTCCCCCCAGGTGCAGCTCCCCCCCACGAATAGATGTAGTGGCAGCAAAAAGGTTTACCAAGAGAGGGCCCAGCGCACCCCCTATCCCTACTACCCTACCTCAGCGTGACCAGCACTCAGGACCATCACGCCACCAGTATCTGAGGGCGCAACGTGGACCGGACAGCAGTGACAAGCACCAAGGCTGGGTGGCCCCCCAGCCCTATTGGAAGCGCAAGCCGACAAACTTTGCCGTATGGGAACTTCGGACGCCAGGCTCATGAATCTTCTACAGGCCCAATTTGGGGGGCCACCCAGCCTTGGTGCTTGTCACTGCTGTCCAGTACAAGTTGCCCTCAGATACTGGTAGGGTGACGGTCCTGAGTGCTGGTCACACTGAGGTAGGATAGTAGGGATAGGGGGTGAGCTGGGAGTATTAATGTGGGGAAGGGTAGGGAAGGTGGCCTATCCTGTCAGGACAACCATCAGTTGCCGCTGCCAGCGATCACCGTCGGTCTGGTCCTTGGCCTCTACAACACCCTGGGCTTTACAGAGGGAAAAAAAAAACAAAGGAGATGGTGCTCTTATCACCTCTCCTATTTTTTTTAATTTTTTAATGTTTATTTTTTTAACTACACTACATTCTTCTCTCAAATTCTTTTGCCTTTCACTACCTACCTACCACTACTGCTAAGGCTATATAGAGGGGACCCCTGCAAGCATAGCTACCTCACAATGAAGGGATTGCATGTTGCCCCCCCCCCCAACAGCAGTAGTCAGAGATGGGGTCGGGCCGCTGGTGGCGGTCCGGCTAACGCAAAGACTCAGCATTTTGCCAGTAGCTGCACCTCCCTTTTCATCTCTCCTAATAGCCCTTAGCAGCCTTTTAATCAAAAAAAAAAAAGAAAAAAAAAAGAAAGAAAGGGGAAACTACGCAGGAGTCACAAAAATGAGTTATAATTGCACTATGAGTTATAATTGCACTATGGGCCAAGATACAGTTTCGAATTGCAGTTCGGGCAATGTATACAACCCAGCTTTCTGGCCAGGTAGGGTGCCCGAAGTGTTATTGCAAACTGTATCTTGCCCCATAGTGCAATTATAACTCATTTTTGCGACTCTACTGATGCGGGAGTCACAAAAACGAGTTGTAATTGCACTATGGGCCAAGATACAGTTTCAAATTGCAGTTCGGACAATGTATACAACCCAGCTTTCTGGCCAGGTAGGGTGCCCGAAGTGCTATTGCAAACTGTATCTTGCCCCATGGTGCAATTGTAACTCTTTTTTGTGACTCTACTGAAGTTACCCCAAAAAGAAAAGAAAAGAAAAGAAAAGAAAAGAAAAGAAAAGAAGAGAGCTAGTGTACCCAAGAGCCTAGCTCAGTGGGTTCACCATTGAACTGTTGAAATACAGACCAGTGTTCGAACCTAGATGATGACGGAACCTGATTGATGAGTAAAACTAAATATTTCTGAATTGCCTGGGGCCGGTCAGCTCAATGATGATATTTCAAGACCGTCGGCCTTTTTTTTAATGAAAAAAAAAAAAAAAGAGTTAGTGTGAGTTTGCTTTGAGAGTTGGCGCCGTTGAGGAGAGCCCCCTGAATCACGGTGCATGCCCACCGTGAGATTAAGTTGAAACGGATGAACGCTTAGATTAGGTAGTTACAAAGCTGGTGAGTTAGAGGGGAAGGGAAATGGCCGGGACTGACTGACATTCTGCCAATAGTGAAACGGCCCTGCCAGCAAGGCAGGGCACGTAAGGAATGAACAAAGAAGGGAACGAAGCACGTGGTCCACTATGTAGGGCAGATGCAATCAAGCAAGTCCCCTGACAGTGTGTGGGTATGCCCTAAGATGCTGGCCTACTGCCCTGCTAAGTGGAGCTCCGTGGGGGAAGCTGCACTGCTGGATGTAGTATCTAACTGAGATATTGTTGAAGAGACGTCTAAAGTGTTGGGAACTTTGTGGACCGGACCGGTTCCTGGGGAAGCAACCGGTCCACATGGTGGCAAAGCTGCCTAATACAAACACCCCCCCTGTCTCAAACACCGGCCCGAAATTTAATTGCCTTTCAGAACTCAGGCCCCGACAGACCTTCGGAAGCATGTTATTTTCGTCTATTTGAAACTCTACCTGTGACTCAGGAGCGGCTGCCAGACAACTGCGCCTGTGACAGGTGCAGAGTTCAATTTCTGGAAATAACAGTACACTGCAAGTTTGGGCGGAGAGCAGTTCGAAACTGCAAAAAAAACAGTAAATAATGCCTTCGGCGGCCTGCCAGTTGAACAATTGGCAAAAACGGGAGGTACCGGTACCAGTCATTTTCCCGTGGGCTGGCCCGGGAGCAGGTACCGGTAGTGGCCCTCCCATTTTTACCCTCTGGAGGGAGGCCGGTTGGATTGGAAAACGACCCCCCGGGAGGAGTGGGGTCGGAAAAGGGAGCGCAGAAGTGGCAGGTTCGCTGACGTGGACCATGCCACGCACCCCGCCAACACCTGCCCTAAGCTGTCTCTCTCTCTCTCTCTCTCTCTCTCTCTCTCTCTCTCTCTCTCTCTCTCTCTCTCTCTCTCGCGCGCGCGCGCGCGCACGTGCCATCAAAAGCATGCGCACGGCTGTGCCCCTCTGACAAACTAAGGGGGGGGGAGAAAGAAAAAAGGGGGGAAACTGCTCCTGAGTCACCTTTTTAGTTTGAAAGAGGCAAGAAAAGACAAAGT